GCAAAGTCATCTATATTTTATACTATCTTATTTGCTTTGGTGATTGATATGAAACAGCCTCTTGTAAAATTTGGTCCCAATGCTCATCACTTTCTGTAAGGCCAAGTTGAATGCATGCCTGTCTGTATGTCTCAAGGATATTTCCATTGGTTGTTTTCAAATTTTGAAATGATCTTGGATCCCTGACATTATGAAGAAGTTGAATAAAGAAGCATTCAGAATTTTTTAGATGTACTGTATAAACCCGACCAAGTACATCACTACATTTAAGAGCAGGTTCAGTTGCATGAGATTCTCCTTGCTTTCTTCTGAGGAATTTTCCAGATTTGAATGTGTAATATTTAAACACTTCAGGATAGAGAATTGTTTGGGCAAAATTATCTATATTGCATATGTTAAAGAATGCCATTAGGGTAGTGTTTTTTAGAGTTTCAATCAATTCCTGAGCATCGTCTTCAGTAAAATACATCCGCTGTCCATTTTCAAGATGAACACTCAAGTGCTGAACTGATGAGTGCCTATTGTGAATGTTAAATGAAAAAATTCTCCAGGCAGCCTCATTGCTAGAAATGTATATTCCTGACTGAAATTTTACTACTTCATTGTGATTGTTAGTGGCAATCACAGTGTGGTCACTCCCCTTATTTATGTACTTTATGGACTTAACACTATTAAAAAAATTCCACATTAATGTGAGCATTGAATGCTTTGCACAGAAGTGGACTATTGGGAACAACCCATTTATATACCAGTTTATTTTGTCCATTTCTTTCAAGATGGAAACTAAATCCTCCATCTTCAGTATTTCTTCTGTAACTTGAGTAGCCATCGATATCCATTTTTGTGTGATTGACAAATATTCTTGGAAATGTTTTTATACGTTTGTTGTCAACCATGCAGGAACAATTGAAATTCAAATAGCCGCATGGTCCATCAGTCATGTCTATTCTATTATACTACTTCAAAAAGCTCTGGATCTTCATTAGGATTTGGCAGTTCTGCATTGATGATAGAATCTATTTGATTTGGATTGATCTTCTCCCTTAACCATAAAAGTAAATGTACCTGTGGCAGTCCCCTCTTTTGCCACTCAATTGAATACATGACATTTTACAGGTCCACATATTTTTTCTTTATTGATGAGATCCATCAGTTTGTTGACCTTCATCTTAAAAATCTTGGCAACAATATCAGGCCAATTTGGATTCGTAGTAAATGTTACAAACAAATCTGGTTTGTCAAAACTCTTTCATGCATATACCTTGGTTTATCTGTGAATGATGAAGGGAGAATAACTGTGTGTCCCGCATTGCCATCATTCTGAATTGCATCCTTTAGGTATTGGTTGAATCTTTCCTTTCTTACAACACATATTAGATTCATCCTTGAATTTTATGTCATTGCAGTAATTGCACTGGATATCTATTGGTCCAGCTTTTGATGATTTGCATAATCAGTATTGCAATTGTATGCAGTTTTGTGGAAGTTAACAAAAGGTATATGTTGTTTGAATGAATCTAAACTGAACCTGTTGCTATCTTGTAATGGAGTTTCAGTGGTTTGGAATACTCTAATCTGGGGATCATAAAGGGATTTTCTTTTTGGAGCTTGCTGAACACTTTCATCAATAAGGATTAACAGAAATAATATTTCAATCTTTTTCACTGTTGGAGAAAACAAACAGAAAAAGTAATTAACAGCAGTACATTTCTTTCATGTTGTATATATTATTTTGTTAAAACAAACATTTTATGCATAATGTAGTTGTAAACATGGAAAATGAATCAAATAAAATATATGCAGATGGTTTGTTTCAAATGGAAAATATACAAAATTTATATATGAAGTAAAAATTAATCTGTTTATAATTTTCATTTAAAAAGGTAAAATTTTAATGTTCATATGCGAGTATCTTGGTAAAAAAGTAAACATTAATTGGGTATCATAAAATATTGCAGTAATTATTTAAAACCTTTTAATATTTTAGTTACATTTGCTAATGAAAAACCTACAGGTATTTGTCAAAAAGAAAAAATTAAATAAATGCACATTCTCTTTTTGCAACAGATTTGTGAAAACTTTGGCAGACTTAGAATATTTTTAAGACCAAAGTTGTCATTTGAATTACAACTCTTTCAAAGTATTTTCACAGATATGATACTAGAAAACACATGTCAAAAAAACAAAGTTTTGTTTGATGTAATTTCAGTAGAAATTAATATCAAGAAGAAAAAAAATAGATATTAGACATTTATCTGGTAATTGTGAATGGATTTCTATCTTATAAAGTAGTGTTTGTGCATGTCCAAGCAACTCCTTCACTGTCACAATTTCATTCATAAATTGGCTTGTTATAGTCAAGGAAAGTTTTAGAAATAGATTCCAACTTGTTGAAGGCCAAGTAAAATGCAAATTTCAAACACTTTTCTGCACTATATAAGACAATATTCCTAAACAGAACTATTTTTGATATGAAAATCAAAACAATCCTTGAATAAAAGCACAGCAATGAAGGACAGTTAATTAATGAAATAAACATTTTTTAAAATCAATATGCAAATTAGCTAAACCTGAAAAATTATAGTGCCAGGATGTAGATAATATTTATAACAGATATTGAACTTTTAGTGTGTAAATTGCTCTTTGGAGTGGTTTGTAACACATCTATTTATCATCTCTCAGTTGCATCTCTGTCTTTGGGCAAAGTGCATCCAGGGGTAACTGTCAAAGAATAGTCACAACTGAGGAAAATTATACTGAGGTGCTTGCATCGAGGCCAGTGCAACCGATGATTGCAGGGGTTGTGGGCAGTTTTTGTTCCTGGCCCAAATGTATGTAATTGGTTCCCCACCTTAAAAAAAAAACTTGTGTCACAACTCATTTTAGTAGAGACAGTAAATACCTAGTGTGTAAATTACTCTCGAGAGTAGTTTGTAACACCCTATTTATCGTCTCACAGTTGTGTTTCTGTCTTTGGACAGTGTGCTCAGGGGCAGCTCTGTCAAAGGACAGAATTGCAACTGAGGAAAATTATACTGAGGGGTGCCTAGCCCTGGGGAACAGCTGCCTGAGGCTGTGCCCTCTCTCTCATTGCACCAGAGAGAGGGATCAGTGCTCACACAGAGGCTGGTGCAACTGATGGTTGCGGGAACTACAGGTAATTTTTGTTCCTAGCCTGGATGTACAAGCTTGGGCTCCCCACATTAAACCGACCTTGTGTCACAACCTGACCTCATGGTTGGAATGAGTAAATACACATTGCTATAAAGTAGAGTTGGGGCCTTTTAACCCCAGGATTTGTGGGAGAATTGAGCTTCAATTTCGCATTTATTCATATGATTAACTAAGAAGTTGATAAATTGCATTAGAAATCCCAAGATCGATATAACATAAAATGTGTGTTTAAACTGAAAATAATTCTCTATTTATAAGTGGCTTTACTGAACTCCACTTTTCTTTCTATTAATACTTTAAGATAATCATATCACCTGGATAACCAAAGCAAAACTGTACTAAACTTGATTAATATAGATGAAAGGAAAAGCAGCATTAATGACTTTGTTGCCCAGAAAGCTAAAATGCATTGTTTCTGAAGACTAACAATATTATTTTCCTTCATTGCTTTTTACAATTTTAAAGGAATTTATATAAAACTTGATGTTTTTATTTTTAGGAAATATTAAAAAAAAAAAAAAAATTGTGTAAGGTAAGCAGAGATCCTTTTGATTATCTAATTTTGCAAAGGGTAACAGATCAGAATCCCATCAGAAAATAATGGCTTAAAAATTTTGCATTTCCCCATGCAATCTTGGAAAATGAAAGGACAAAATATGAAGCTTGAGTCTACTTTCAAAGTTAAAACTGTTTCTTTTGTTTAGTGCAAATTACTCTTCATTTTAACATTTTTTTATTTTGGAGAGGGCTTGACTTTCACATCTAAAATGTAAATAAATTATAGCCATAAAACATTGATTTTAGTTTCCGCCAAAGTGCACATCTTTCTTTTTGCTTTCTATTTTTAATGCATTTTACTGAAATTCCTCCTGCAATTTTTTTTCTTTTTGTGTCTGGCAAATGTTATTTTAATCTGAAGGAATGAAATGCCAAAATCACTTCACACAATTTCTGCAGTAGCAGTTATTAGTAACAGTTAATCCAATCTAGCTTTTACAATTAGGCATTTAAAAAGGACCATTTCAATATTGATCTTATAATTTTGATATAACATTTAATGCATGCCATTTCTTTGAATTGTAGTGTCCTTTTGTAAAGTCACAAAGGTCTTAGAATTTTATTTTTAAATATATCTGAAGGATTCACTAATTTAATACTAGCAAACTAAGTTTTGTGCTTGTAAGATTTTTCATGGGTTTTAATTTTTTTTAAAACTATTTAGAAAGTCATTTATGAAGCAACTATGACTATGTGCATGCAAATATTTAATAGCATGGGAAAAACATTAACCTGACAATGTACCAAACTTCTTGTGAATCAACTTTATATTTGAAATACTTTAGAAATTTCTATTCTAGTTGTCTTGAGATGGGTAAAAATTAACATTTTTATGCTATGGAAGGACAAGTGCAAGCACATGATAGCGGAACAGCATTTAATATTTTCTTAAGCTTTATTGCAATAACTGATTCTTTCTTCACTAAAAGCAAAGAGTTTAAAATTCATAGGTCTACACGTGATTAATATCTTTTGACTGTATTTGGTTATAAGATATTTTATTTTCATGTTGAAGTAATTAGTTCCAGAATGAAAAGTTACAAAAACAAGATATTTGTAAAATTTTTCTCCTAATAAACAATTATCACTTGCATTTTCATTTGCATTTAAATGCTTTTAAAGACAGCTGCTCATTTTTAGTATTTTTATTGGAGTGGAAGTAACTTAATTGTAATTTTACTGGTATTTATTTTCTCAGTAAATATTAAAGAACCTTTCATGCTGTATTTAATTGTTAATGATTTCTAATTAATGATATACTTTTTCAGGAGCCAATTGCTCGTAAAGTCATTGAGCAAGGCATGTTTGTGAAGCATTGTAAAGTGGAAGTTTACTTAATAGACTTGAAACTTTGCCAGAATTCAGATATGGATGCTGTTCACACTAAACAATTCAGTCGAGCTATCACCATTGGTAAGTGTACATTACCCTAATAAAGAATTTCCTTTTTATTTAAAAAAAAATTAAAACAATATAAGTTAATCTTCAAGTTGAAACAAGGGTAGATAACTATTTTAATCTTTGGCATGAATTGTAATATTTTTGAAAGTGAAAAATAGATGCTCGCTGTTAATGTCATATTTTAATTGGGTAAATATTAGATAGCTATTCAGTATTACCATCTCTGTGTTTATCTTTTTGACTTGAAAATAAGTCTTTTTTTCAGTTAAATTATTATTTTTGTTTCAAAAAACCAGTTTCATGTACTATGCCTTTAAAATCTGCTTAAAGAAAACTAAACTCTTTCTCAAAAATCTTTTAACCATTATCATTCTGTATGTGACTTCATTTGCTCTAAACTGCACAAGTTTATCCTGTCACTGAAGGTGACCTGATCCCTGAATTTGAATTTCATAGTTGTATTGAAAAAGTATGCAGGGGAAAAGGAATTAATATTAATAATGCAGACTGCTAAAGGTTAATACAAATATCAGATTCTTTTCTCTAATAATAAACAAGCATTTTGTTACAGATCAAATAGAGAAGGAAATGAGGAAGCTCTTTAACATATCCGATGATAAAGAAACTCGACTCTGGAATCGATACATGTGTAATACTTATGAACATCTAAATAAAACAGACCATACAATACAAGATGCTGGCTTGTATCAGGGACAGGTAAGACAACTGGCTCTCATTTGCAATGTAACAGTTCTATATTCTCTATTGTAATCTATGAAATGTCTGATCTTTAAAACTTGGTGTGAAAAGTTAGCATTGGCTTGTAAATATTTAAAATAAGTTTTCTCGCACAATCCTGTGATCAAATAATTGAAATCTGAAAACTTACCTGTAAAGGAGATTTTAGAAATTGAAAATATTTATTCCCTTACGATCAATTTCTGTTTTTGAATTTTATTCTTTTATAAATGTCCTTCCTCTGCAATGTCTTTTATTGAACCAAATTATTGGATAAATTGGGCATTTTCAACTTTCATAAATAAAAGCAAACAAATTCTTGTCTTGAAATTACTCTTGACAATCTGAAACTGTACATGTACTGAAAACACGTTTAACAATGAGTAATCTGTACTTTCTTGATTTTATGAGGAAGTCATAAAATCATTATAATAGAAAAATTATTATAATAGAAATCACTGAAATGAACACAGAAGGTAAAATTGGACTCCCAAAATGAATTCATAGATAAATTTGAGATGGCTTTATAAAATTTACTTGTATATATTTTTTCTACTCCCTCATCTTTGTTTTTGCTTTTAGCTTATTGTAATTGAACCTCAGAATGATGATGGTACATGGCCGAGGCAAGCAAAAAGGTGGGTTCTTAGACTGTTAGCCCTTTCAGTTTTTTTCTTTCAGTTTTTTTCTTTCAGTTTTTTTCTTTCAGTTTTTTTTTTTTTTTAATATGTATATTCATTTGCTCTTAATATGCTGAAGCATGTCAATGAAAGCATTTAACCTATTCTATAACCTTAAAATAGTTGAATATTAAATTTGTTTATTGCCCATGAACTTTCATAAAGTATTAAAAAAATGCAATGCTATTTCTTTGGAAATAGTAATTTTTGTAAATTTTTTTGATAATTTATGCATTTTAATATTTTTGATAAGGAAAAAATATAAAACATTTTGTCTGCTCATACATGTTTTTCACTATTTATGTATGAAGCAACTGAACTTTTGTTTAACTGCCATCTATATTATTGGTTGTAAAATATTTTTTCTTTTGAAAGGAAGGAAGTTTCTAAAGTTTTCATATTTTTTTCCTCTAATTAGTACCAGCAGTTATAATTCAAGCAGTGCTCCTTTGGAAAGACAGTCCTCATATACTTCTACCAGGTATTGGTCACTTCACAATAATTGTACTGTTGTACAAATTTATAAAAAAACCTCTTTATAAATGTTAAAAATCATATACAGGGAACCAATAAAAACTTAGCTGTACACTTTGTGTGAATAACCAATGTTGAAACTATTCTATTTTTTTTTATAATTTGTAATATTTAATTTTAAAATTGTTTAGCAACTTGAAATGTCATGTTGTCCATTTTCATATTTAAACAAAGTTTACTCTATTGTTTAGAAATCAAACTTTTTCTAAACAATGAAAAGTTTAAAAAAAAATTTTTTAATCAAAATTAAATGATAATACATAAATGAAATATGGTTAATTTACTACATTAAAAATGGTTGTTCTAAATGTAGGATAAATTCATACTTTTGTTTTACTCCTGCTCAAATATGTTATTTTAATTTACTTTGGAGTAAAAATAAGAATTTAAATATGAAATTAAATCTTTTGTAGGTCTTCTGGTTACAACAGTAGTTCTAGTAATTATGATAACAACTATAGCTCCTATGGGTGCTACAATAATGAACCTGGACGTTCTCAAGCTGTACCTGGCCTCTGTGGATTGTCAAACCTTGGAAACACTTGTTTTATGAATTCTGCTCTGCAAGTAAGTATTTTTATAACTCCTTATTACTGTGAAAATGTATTGCAAAATGTATTTGATACTTTAAAAACATTTAATGAATCTCTTATTGAATATTTCTCTCAATCAATTATGCTCTCTCTCAATATCTCACCCTCCATCACACACACACACACACACACTCTCTCTTTTCAACTAATTTTGCTTGAGAAAGCAATTTTATAGATTTGTTTCCATAAATTTAACTGGAGCACTCCAAATTTTACAATCCCTTAATTCTGAAAATGTTCTATTTTTGTTCATTATAATTTATTATTTTCATATATATATATATATATATATATATATATATATATATATATATATTTTTTTTATTTTATTTATTTTTTTTTTTTTGTAGTGTATGAGTAATGTTTCCTACTTGACCCATTATTTTCTTGAAGAAAGGTGGGTGGATGAGTTGAATGAAGACAATCCTCTAGGTATGAGAGGAGAAATTGCTAAAACTTATGCAGAACTTGCTAAACAAATGTGGTCTGGTAAATACACTTATACAGTTCCAAGGAATTTTAAGGTAAGTATATATTACAAAGGAAAATTATAATTTTTGTGTTTCATGTGAAAAATGCATTTTTTTTTTTTTTTTTTTTTTTTTTTTTTTTTGTAAAGATTGTGTATATAATTATTGATCCTTTTCTAAAGCTTTTTATGCAACACAATTTAGAAGTCAGATTTATTACCTTGCTCGATATAAATTGTTAATAAGATGTGTGTAAAATCAAGTTAAAATAGAGAAATTTTTATCTGAAGGCTTCATTGACCCAACCAAAGTGATTCCCCCACCCACATCATCTCTCAAAAAGTTTATTTGGGCAAATTTTAGAAAGTAGCTTAAAAACTTGCAATACTTGGTTCATTTGGAATGATCTCAACATTATTTTAATAACTGGTGACTATTTTTCTTCCACAGTTAAAATTTTTTTAAATCTGACTTATTGTTGTACTAACATATTTTTGCTTCTTTTTGTAATATTTAGATTGCAGTTGGAAAATTTGCACCTCAGTTCTCAGGTTTCCAGCAGCAGGATTCTCAAGAATTGATGGCCTTTCTATTAGATGGTCTTCATGAAGACTTAAATCGAATTCGTAAGAAGCCATATATTGAGTTGAAAGATGCCGAGAACCGACCAGATGCTGTAAGTTAATGTATTGAGTGTTTGGAGTGTAATGAGTTGGTAGCTTGGATTTGATGAAAAGTAGTTGAAATGACTGGTTTCCAAAATACTTAATATTTAAATTTCATCTATTTTGATAATTGATTTGCAAAAGTGCTCTCTTTAATATTTGCTCACAACAGTAACTGCTGTTACACCACAACGATGCAAGCGCTAATTACAGAATTAAGGGTAGTACTTTAGTCATGGTGAACATAATTTTTTTTTTTTATTGTACAATTGTCTGAATTATGTGCAGTGATTGATATCCTCAGATATCTGACAGGAAATATTCATGCTACTACTAGTGATTGGAATTTTTAAATTATTTTATAGCATTTGTTAAAATTTGTAATATTTAGTGAACTAGAGCCAAATTTATATTCTTTATATAATGGTCAGCTACTCTTGTTTTCCAAGCACACTCATGTGCTTGGCACATTTGTGTTTGTTCAACACCCACAGAGCCCACTTGTGGTTTATACTGCAACTGTGCTATGCAAGGCCTTAGGAGAGAGTGCTTCATCTATTACTATCAGTAGTTTGAACAATGCTAATATGATCAAACCCTCGATCATGGTAACTCTATGCTAGCACAACCAGCAACAACTTCCAAACAATTCAGTCTACCCAATTTCACTTCCAGGCTTGAGTCAACCCTTGGTATGACTTTCAAGCACTTTCCAAAGGTGCTACATACTGGGATTGGCTCCAAATATTGATAACATCAAGGTCACCTTCATAGTTCAAATTCGCTAAGGTGAGATTTGAACCCAAAAGGGTGCTAAAAAGTTCTCAACAAAACTTTTCAGCCCTGCTACATATATGAAGTAACATCACAAACTTTCAAAAGACTTGTTGATAAAAATACCAAAAACTTGTAACATGTTAATTATAATTGTGGTTGTCCCTCCCTTCATTAACTTGCATGACTGTTACACCTTGCCAATCACTTTATGTTTTGATCACGTGGAAAGAAGGGAAAAGAGACTACTTGGTTTCAGTGAGAAAATGAAAGAAAGAAGGGAAGATTGAAGTGTTTCAGTGAAATGAAAAAAAGTTGTCATTTTCAAATCTTTTCATCTGTATCCACTTCTTAAAATAACAACCAGCATTCATATTTATGACTGTTATTGCAATATTTTGTTAAAATTGTAAAGCTCAAATATTTAGCAATCTGATAGAATTTCTACAGATATTTTGTAGAACTCACCATCAGTTTACTCAATCATTAACATAAGAATTGAGATTCATCAGAATATTAAAATAGAAAAACTGAAGTTTTCACAGGTTAAAACTAATGATAATCTCCGTATGAATAGAAAGAAAGATTGGAGAAAATTCTGATATAAAAGGTCATCCAACTAGAGAATTTTTTCCAAAGTTGTTTATACTTTAAAATGTATTACACCTTAAGTTTAAAAACAAACCAAAAACGAACCAAGTATTGGGTATCAATAGAATTTTCAGTACTTATTTATAAATAGGAAATTTTTGTAAGAAAAATTAGTAAAATTATCTTTTGAGGTTAACCATACCACCCCTAGTTCATTTTATGAAATCTCAAAATTTCTTTTAGATACCAAAATCATTTCCATATATATATATATATATATATATATATATATATATATATATAGGTACCTCCATGAAATCGCTAAAAAAAGAGCATAGCTTGATGAAAAAGACGCCAACCTTGCTGAAAACAAAATTTTATTGTCTAAATGCTTATGTTATTATTAAGAGGAAAGACCAAAGTTTTTTTTTTAATTATTTTTAAAAAATTTTCCTTTTTAGAACATTCTAAATTTTGATTAAAAAAACCTTTTTTCTATTTGTATCAGCAGACTAGTAAATAACATAGACAATTTTTAGAATGTTTTTTTTGGTATGACACACATTAATTTGAAAAATCGTGCAAAAATAGAAATAATTATCGGATGTTAATGAAACTTTCAGGAACTATTCACAGATGATCGAAATTATTGTAAATGTTTTTTTTATGAAAGTCATGGTAGAAATATTTTTTTTAAATATGTATTACCCCCCCCCCCCCAAGTAATTTTATGAAAACGCTAGAAATTCGATCGCATCGGTTTTAGTGATTACAATAATTAAAAGCACAGGGCTTTGAGGAATGCAAATCATGTTTTTTTTTTTTTTTTTAATTGGATACGCAGTACCTGAAAATCAGCTCTGAATTGTAACATACAAAACTCAATAAAACAAATATATTATTTAATTTCAAATGCTTTTATTTGCTTTTAGTTGTTTTTATGAATATGGACAATATTTTCTGAAAGCAAAAAAAATTTTCGATGAAAATGAATTTTTAATACAATTATTTGTTATTTCATTAATTATAATAGATTTTACATTTAAGTTGTTAAAATATTATAAAATTAGTTAAAAGTCAAGCATCGGCTTTCATAAGTGTCCTTATGAGATAGATCTTTTTTTTAAGCGTTGTAAATTGTATCATTTTGACTAATCAGAAGATCCCCAGTAATTAAGAAATGTAATTTTGTGCTTATAATCGAGCTGTAATTATAAAATACGGAAGACCAACCAGAATATAATTAAGTTGCTATTTGAGTTCAGCATTGTTCTCCGCTGTTACGGCCTTTACTTTTGCGAAACACGTGTGGAGAAGTTAATTTGATTTTTCAATTTCAACTGAGAAGGGTACCTACAAGTATCAGTATCATCATATGAAATTTATATGATCTTATTTTTATATTAATCTCAGTTACGACATTTTTCCATAAATGAAATATCAAAATTAATAATAAAATGAATGCAAATACAAATAATAGTAGAATGTAATAAATGTACATAAAATTATAGTATTTTATGTACAATTCTGATAAAATTTCATAAGAAAGGTACCTATAAATTAATTAGATACCTTTCTTAAGAAATATGAAATTTAATGTCACTCTTAACAGTTTTATTTTAATTTCTTTAGAATATATTTCCCATAAAGCATCATAAACGTAAAGGTGAAAGCTAAGTACAAAAAAAAAAAAAAAAAATTAGACCGCTGAAAGTTTTCGTTAAAAATAACGGGTAAATAATTTGTTCACGTAAATGTAAATTATTTCACTTTTCTCCTTCCAGAGAACAAATTAGCCTCATGGAATTCAGAATATATCATTCATCACATGTCAAGAGACGCGAAAGTTTATGACCTGCTTTGTTTTATTTTCAAATTACATCTTTTTGGCACAAAAGCTAAGTTAAGTTTGGTTCAAAATATTTTAAATAAACATTATAATTTCTGATTTTCTTAAAATAAGTTTTGAAAAAATGATAATTGATATTTAAAAAATTTCAAAAGTCAGATTTCCAGTTTTTTTAAAATGGAAAAAAAATGGTCAATTTTGCTGACTCAAAAAAAAAACTAGATTTTTAACGAAAATTTCGGACGTGCTAGAACGATTAAAAATGGAAAAAAAATTCCCCCAAAATACTTTGACCTTTCCTCTTAATAATAACAAACATTTAGACGATAAAATTTTGTTTTCGTCAAGTTTGGCGTCTTTTTCATCATGCTATGCTCTTTTTTTAGCGATCTCGTGGAGGTACCTAAGTTAAGTTTTGGAGGATTTTTGAACTCTTAGTTATCTTGTAAGCTTGAAGGAATTTGTCATATTTGATCTTTCATAATTGGAAAGACTAGCTGCAGGAGGGAAATTTTGTCAGTTACTATTGACAGTGTTGGATTCAATCCCTATTAGGAATGACTGTAAAACACTTTCCCCTCTCCAATTTATAGGCAGAAGCACACAAATGCATGCTGGGATTTCTTCCTAGCCAATAAAACAGGTTGGTTCTTGGTTTCATATGACTCAATCCAGATCTGCCTATTCAGGCGGGCTGACTTGTCAAACTCTTTGCCTTCGAGCAGAGAGGAACCCAGATGAGGCTATGCCGAAAGGCAGTCATGTCTGGGTGGGTAGACAAGCCCAACCCTGTGTATACAGTGTCTACAAGGAATTTTTGTCCAAGCCTATGGGCTCGGATTTGCTCCACATAAAATAACGGCCTTGTGCCACATCCTGCCTTGTGGAGAGACTAAGGTAAATAAGCTCGGTCTTGGTCTGTATTGCCTTGAGGTCAGAACACTACGTTTACTTATATGAACTTACTCGTCTGTCAACCTTAATTCTTAGTTTGAACATTTTGCCATATTACTGTTGCTTTGCCTTGCATATATTGCTTGCTTGCCTTGTATTATTTTTTGCTCTGTTCCTTTCTTTTGTTTTTTGTATTTTTTTAATTTCAAATTTTGTTGGTTCTGTTGAACAGTTCTGTCATTTATTTTACATTTAACTATGATAGAAATGAAAATAGTTCTTACAAAATTTTGTAAAGTAAGCTTATTTGTATTTTGTGTTTATCTACCTTGACTTTGACCATACTATAAAATGACTTTGTCCTGCTTTGCTGTTTCAGGAAGTAGCAAAAGAAGCCTGGAACAATTATAGGAAAAGGAATGATTCAGTAATTGTTGATACATTTCATGGATTACTGAAGTCTACTTTAGTTTGTCCAGAATGTGCTAAAGTATCTGTTACTTTTGACCCATTCTGTTACCTCTCATTGCCTTTACCAATTAAAAAAGAAAGACAAATGGAAGTTTTCTGGGTGCCATTAGATCCTGCCAAAACACCTGTTCAGGTAAGTCTTTATTATTCTTATTTATTTATTTTTTTTTTTTTTTTTTTTTTATTTGATAAAGTACATAGGTTTATGAAATTATGAAACTGGCATTTTTCAAAATGAGTTAAAATAATTATTTTAGTCATTTAATTTTCTTTTTCTTTTGAAATTTTAAATTCTGGAAGATTTAGCCATTCCCACAGATTGTTAGAAATGTACTTCAGATGAAATTTCATCTGTTAACTATTTGAGCCAGTTTAAAACATTTCTTTTTATGAATTTATTAGAAATTTTGTATCCTATTCTTTGCTTGGGTTTGGGGCAAGTGCATCTTTTTTTTCCATCAAGAAAGGTAATACTGAAATATAAGCATATTTATCTTGTTTCTTCTGTTTTTTTATTTCAAAGTAATATAAATTTTCTTTCAGTATAAGTTAACTGTTCCTAAGCTTGGTACAGTACTTGACTTGTGTTCAGCCTTATCCAAACATGTGAATGTTCAACCTGATAAGGTAAATATTTCTATTACATGTAATGTTTCTTTACATCATTTTACAGTACTTTTTAAACATATCTCTGGAAGATATATATATATATACTCTTACACAGAGGTTTAAATTTGAGGATAAAAAATATTTTTTTCCTAATTTCATTGTACTTTTTAATCAGCTATAACAATTTCAGCATTACTAAGTTTGGAATGATATAAAGTTGATTTCAAAACTTTATTAATATAAAGCAATATATTATATTAAATTTTGAATGTAACTATGAACTGTTCAAAGAATGTGTGCACAGAATCAGTTAATCCTAATTTGATTTAATTTAAAGTTTTACTTTATGTAATCTTCACAATACTAATGTCAATATGAAAGTGTTACAATGTTAACTGTCCTATCGAAGAACCTTTTTGAAAGTAGTTTCATTTACACATGGGTATAAAAAGCAGCAGAGGAAGCTTTTAAGATCTCTAAATTGACAGTCAGTCCTAAGAGTATTTAACTGCAAAATCTTGCTGCAGAAAGTTTGGAATTTAAAATGGCTATTGATTCTTAGTGAATGATTCTCCTTTAAGATAATGTTTTGTGCTAGATGTACACAGGAGGAAAATAATGACACACATTGCTTTAAAAAAAAAATGCATATTTGCTATTTAAATCTCTGCAGTTCCATTTAAAGAAAGATTCTTCAAAATTTAACCATTAGCACTCTAAAGATGATTTATTCCCAAAGCAAAATGTTTGTCCTAATGAGATATTATGCAATGTTCTTTTGAATTAAGTGACTGCCATCTTTATCAGTTGCCAGTTATCCAGTTTTAGCATCACCTAAGGCTGCCTGCATTTCCTAACATATTGATTGCTGTCAAATGACAGTATACCTATTATACCTTTACTATTATATGATCCAAGAAAATCAAGAGCAACTGCCACCTCAGAAGTAGAAGTCCAACAGTCATACTTTGATCCTAGTGTTAAATCTTATTAGTGTTGCATAGTTGGTACAACTACACTACCTCTTCACCACTTGCCAGCCAGCTTATCCATAAAGCAGAATCTTCCTGTATACGGTTTCTGATTTTTAACTGAAGATACTAAATTTTTTATTTTGACTTGCTGCATTTTTAATATACAGGTAGTTATTAACATTGAATTTGATATGTGAATGTTGTATAGCTTTGAACTAAACAAAATTCTTTCCTTATAATTGTTTTTACTCGAGAAAAAGATTTTGTTGGGATAAAATAAATTATTCCTCTTACATTGATAATTTGTAAAAGCGTCAAAATCCAAATTTCACAGAAATCTAGAAATTTTTTTTTTTAATCAAGGATTATTGCTGTCAATGTTCATCTTTCATCTTGCAAAAAATATAATAGCAGTTTATTTTTACTAACACTAGCATTATGATACTTATCTCAAATTGAGTTTTCCTAATAGCTTCAATTAAGTTACTAATATTGTTCTGTATTCACTTAGCACTTTTATTTTCTCAGTACAAGTTCATTTTTTTTTAAAGCAATATGCATCTAATGGTAAGTTGTGTTTATGTTGCAGATGGTTGTCACTGATGTGTACAGTCACAAGTTTCACAAAGTCTACTCACAAGAGGATGCTCTAAACCACATCACAGACAGAGATGATATTTTCATGTCAGTTGCCACTCTTAATTTTCATTTTGACACTCTTAACTATGCCACATGTCATATTAGAATAATTTCTTTCTATTTTTTTTTTTTTTTTTACTCAGAAAATTGTAGTGAAAAAAAACTTGCTAGCATGATAATTCTTGTTCTATGCCAGATTCCCTTTTAAATATTATATTCATTTTGGGTTTGCAAATGTAATAATTGATACATACTGGCATGCAAGATTTGGCCAACTACATAAAATTATTATGCACCTTTTAAGAAGTTGATAGGTGCCACATAACAAAAGACACACCACTTTAAGCAGTTTCAAGCCAAAAAGACCATGCAAAGTTATTGGGCCAATGAAAGATCCAAAATTATAAAATCATGATGAAATGCAAATTTCTAAGTAGGATTTGTTACATCTTATTAACATGAGTGAAAGTTTCCCTGACAAGTCATTGTAGTTGAACATTAACTTGCTTTTTGTACAAAAATCATGGTTAAAATTTCTGCTGAAACAGACAAAAGTTGTGACTTTGAAGATCAAAATGACTCAAATGAGAGATAACTAGGCAGCAAGGAATTTCTAGTAGCGGTTCAAATCATCCAAAAGATGTTTGCGACTACTGGAAATGTTTTAAGTGCTAAAAGAAAAGATTATGAAAGTTGGACTAGAGAGATGAATAAGATTGTAAGTCTTTATAAACAATTAAAAATTAACAGCTAGACAAGTGAGGAGTGAATGCATTCTTAAGTGAGGTTTCAATTGACACAGAATATTATGAAAAACAATTTGAATGTGAATATGGCAGTAAGAAAAAAAAATTAACAAAGAAATCAGAATAGAAGATTGAAGTGATCAAAAGACTTTACATAGCATGCTGGAAAGTGGCAAAAAGTAATTTTTAGTGATGAATGCAAAATGGTTACCGTCTAATGCAAGAGAATATGTAAGAAAACTAGTGGGAGAAAGAAACAATACAAGATACACAACAAAGTAAAATTTGGTGGTGGACACTTAATAGCAGTGGTAGAAAAAATGAAAAAGATGAAAGCCTAAACAGTGAAAGCTATATTAGTTTATTACACTCTAATCTTCTGCCAAACTACAAAGATGGAGTAACTTTTCAGCATGACAGTGCTCTTTGTTACATATGCAACAAAAAGGTTTCTGGTGGATGATGTTCAACTTTTGGAAGACTGGCCAAAACAAAAACCTGATCTCAATATAATTCAATCATTGTAGTGGAAACTGAAGAAACAAGTGTTCCAATGAAAACTATGCAATCTCCAAGAACTTTGCGATTACTGCCATGAAGACTGGTGGAGAAAAAATTCCCAATGAGAAAATCTGAACCTTATTCCATTCAATGCCACATTAAATTGAGGCAATTATTCAGGCCAAAGATAGCAACACTAATTATTAACCCTATATTTTGACATTTTGTACTTTCTGTAATAATAAAGATAACATTTTACAAAAAAAAAAAAAATTTAAAGCGTTCAAAGGTGATATTTTTACTAGTGGTCCAGTATTTTTGCATAGTCTTTTTCAGCATTAACAAAAATGCAGTAACTTGTTTTCTGACCTTCAAATATCATAAAATTTTACTGATTAAATCACTCAATTTTAAGATAAAATTGACAAAAGTAATTTACCAAGGTGGCCCAAAAGTTTTGCACATGTGTGTATTATATCATTTTAATATACTCATAATACAATTTGTTCCTGTTTGTTTTAGAAGCATCATAAAAATTAGTCATTAATGTCTTAGATTTTCTGTTGAAACATAACATTTAGAATTTAATTTTTCAGTTATGAAGTTCCCGTGAATAGAATGGATGACCCTAACACTGTAATATTAGCAATATATATGAGAGAGAAAAAGTAAGTATTTTTTATTTGGACCTAAAGATAACATTGTTTATAATTTAAAAAACTGGCTAAATTATACAAATTTGTCCTTTTTACTTTTAAAAAAAGTAAAAATTTGTATTTATAGGTTTGATAGCTTAAATTTTATTTAATCTTATTTTCAATTCATCTAGTTTATTACAACTGTAATTATCCTTTGTTTTTCCTCTTAATTTTCTCATTTGTTTTATCTTCAGAGTTAAAACTGGTTTTAATGACCATCCCCTCACCTCTTACCAGTTGTTTGGGCAGCCTCTGCTGCTCCCAGCACCCAGAAAAAATTGCAATTATGAGACCCTCTATAATTTAGTTTTGAATAGGATATCGTAAGTATTTCTAATGTTTTTATTTAATATTATAGGGTGGGGGGTTCTTCTTTGTAACATTTTATCTGTGCTTCTGCTTATATAATTTTCTTACAATAATTTAACATGTATATAAAATCTGTGGGCAGTGTAAAATTTTTTTTCTTCCTCTCTCTCTCAGCTAAATATTTCATGTGTATCGCTGTAAATCTTCTAAAATCATAATGCTCATGTTAGGGACTCTTTTTTTTTTTTTTTTTTTTTTTTTCCACACTTGGTAAAATGTGCTTGTGAATTTAAGAGAAAACAAATTTGGATAACTTATAAGCTAAAATAAAATTTCACAAATTATATTACATTAAAAGAAATTTGATCAAAATGAACTCGTTTACCTTTTGAGCTTATTAAAAAAAAAAACAAAAAAAAAAACAAAGAGCTAACATCTACAAAGTTTGCAAAAATTTAGTTTTCTATAAAGTATTTTGGCTGGTTAATGGTAAAATGAATATCTGCAGAAATGAGTTCTGAAATTAAAATTTGTATTTTTACAAATTCTTTTCAGAATAGTTAGCCTCTTGTATTGAGAAATTTGTTGCTGTAAATTTCAGGCGCCTTGTGAAAGTACCTGATGAATCTGATAAATGGTGGATGGAGGAAGATCGCAAAAACGCCTTAGATGAAAATAATGTTGACCTTGATGAAGATATTGACAATTCTGTCTATAAAGTAAATGGTGGTTAGTATACACTTATGTTTTTTCTGTCTTTTTTTATAGTTGCTATTAGTTCTGTTCAGATCTCAAAACGATTCTTTAAAGAAACTAAATTAAGCATTTTCTATTTTGATTGAAATTCAAATCCCAGCATTTTAACTTTGAATTTTTAAGATTCTAAAAAGGAGGGAGTGGCTTTTTTTACTCAAATTAATATAATGAACTCTTACATTTTATGTAGATCATGGTTCACAAGCATTTTTTTTTTAAAAAAAAATTGTCATTATTCAAAATTATTAGCATCTGCTTAAATACTTAATGTATTTAACCCTTTGAACCCAAACAGCCAGTATACCAGCCACTGTGTGACAGTACATATAACTACGCAGCTGATATACCACCCAGAGTTAGTGACAGAAGGAGCCAAGGGTAGGAGATCTGTACTCATCGGGTATTTAAAGGGTTAAATAAAAGATGACTTGTACTAAGACCAAAGTAAAATTTAGTAGACTGTACTATGCTTAACTAAGGATCTGTTACATTCTGTAATTTTACAGTATAAATATTTAGTAACTTGACCATGAAAAAATATATTTATCCTAATGCATAGTTTGTTTCTACTAACTCCTTCAGAACACTTCTGGGCATGTGTGAAGTGATCTCAAAAGATACCTGTTCAGAAATGTTAGGGGGGGGGGCTTCATCCAGCATTTGGTTTATATGCTTTGTTCAAATTTTCTGAGTTTTGGAGTAGCATTTTATATTTTAAAAGTTAAAAGAATTCCTTTTTTTCATAATGAAATTCTTTTTTTTTTCTCTTAATTTGTTATGTATACTCATGCACATAAGCCTTGTATGATTGTTTTCTTTAAAAAAAAAAAAAAAAAAAAAAATGACTTTGCCTTTCCTCCTGTCTGATGCTTTTGAATTTTCTCAAAATTTTGAGATAAATGTTGTGCACTGAATATAATAATTTCAACAAAAGTGAAACTTTGAATAAACAATATTGCAATGCAAAATTAGTTAACTAGGGAAATTATGTTAATTTCCTCTTCAATTAATTATTGGATATTTCATATGCATCTCTTCTACCCCATCTTTATTTTCTATGGCGGTAGAGTATAACTTAACTGATGCTTCTAGCTTATTATAGATATGTATGTATTCATTGATGCACTGATTTTAAGTACACTTGTTGTCTACTGCATACTTAAGCCAGTGACTTGTGGATTACCACTTTAGGAGACAGTGGTGCACATATGGAGGATATGGATGATGACAGCTGTGATTCTCCTGTAGAGGAAAGTCCAAAGAATAGTGTTGGCTACAGCAACCTTAACTGTGGGGATACCTCAAGTAACTTAGCCAATGACCTGACCAACACTATGGTGAACAGTTGCGGACAAATCAGTAGCTCCTCTGGTCCAGCTAATACATCTAACAGCAATATTTCCTTGACAGCAACTTCAGCAATGAGTAGCAGTGGCAAGAGGACTGACTGCAAACAGGGCTGTGAGGACAATGTAAAAGCAGACAATGCAGATAATGAAACTGAAGAGAATGAGAACCAATTTGTCCATCGCCTCTTCAGATTTACACCTGTCAATTCTTATGGAACCGCTGCTGTTGATAACCGTATGGATGAGAGTGGCAAGCCTCTGAAATTAACTTGTGAGTAGTTTTTTTTTTCTTTCTGCAATATGAACTCATTTCTCTATTTACTTTTTTCTTACTCCATTTTGTGTGCAACAATAAAGTGATATAAATAAGTCTTGGTTCATGATATTCCAAATTGGATTAATCTATTAAGTTCAATTTTGTGAAAATTTTACATTTTCTTTCCTTGAAATTTCTGTAGCCACCCACAAATTCCTGATTTTTTTTTTTTTTTTTTTTTTTTTCCAGCTCAAACATATATTGCTGTAGATTGGGATACTAAAGTCAAAGAAAAGTTTTATAGTGAAAAAGCAGCAGAAGTAAGTTTTCTTTTTTCTTAATAAAAGCCCTTATTAAAATAAAAGCTCATTAAAATATCAGTGCCAAATAACATATTTTTACGTATTTTTTTTTCTTTATTTAACAGGAACTTGATATCCACGAATCATTTCATATGAAAAATACAGCTAAAAAACAGATAATTCAATTGAGTGAATGCCTGGAACTCTTCACTACAAAGGAAAAACTAGGTGCAGATGATCCATGGTTAGTAGTTTTTCTCCACCCCCCTCCCACACACACACTACATTTGGTTTAAATTTGTTCTGAAATTTGCTGTGCTATCATACCTATTAATTTTTTACTCTTTATGAAGCAAGTTTTTTAAAATAAGGGAAAGTTTCCTTTATCGGGTATCCAGTTATTCTAATAAATGAATTTTGCCACATTTGTAACATCTTGTATATGTGATGATATTTGGGTTGTTAGATTATTCTTTTGCTTCTCCTTTGTGGTAGTTTCTTGGTGATTTCCAGAGTCATGTCCTGGTTTAAAGAACACTATGTTCTGGGCATTCTCATGAGGCACTTTTACAGTGACATTTAGCACTACCCTTTCCTAATCCTTTTCCTTTTTTTACCACAGCCAGACATGTTGATCAACTCAAAAATCTGAAGATTTTATTCCCTCAAATATAGTTACTCCCTGAACTCAATAGTGAATTATTTAAGATCTGAACAATTTAATGCTGAAAATCGCAACTGTTCAAAATTATTTTCCACTAGAAATTTTTTTTTTTTTTTGCCATTCAGTTAGATAGTCAATATGATCCCTAACCAATCAAATAACAGCTAATTGAAAATGTACACAACACTTGTGCATTAAATCACCAAACCGATGTGAGACAGGAATAAACTTTTTAAATCTTTTAACTTGCTTGCACTCAAAAACTCTATAAGTGACATGTCTAAATCATAACTCCTTTTATTCTAAATTCATGTCTGTTAATGTCCTTCTCATATACTTATAAAACTTGATTTTATCAACTTTATTACTTTACTTTTTAATTAAAATCAAATGTAATTAAAACCAAATTAACAACCACCACCACTGTTTTAGTTAGATATTCTTTTTGTTAATGTTGATACTGAATTGAATGAAATCATAAAAATAAGAGGTATTTTCCAACAAGCATAAAATATATACTTATTTCTTTGTCTAATATAGTCAGTTATCTTGATTTAAATCGTTATACATTCACCCTGATCTGCATTCAACAAATCTTGCTGTGCTCTCTAAATTCCAACATTCCCTTTGTTTTTCTATCACTTTTGTAATGGCATTTATAATCTAAGATCAATATCTTTTTGCAAACTACAAGAGATATTTACTTTATTTTTTTTCATGGCCATACGCCGGCTTAAAAATAAAACCTATTTCTATCTTTACGTTTTTGTCACATTGGATAACTCTGATGCAATTCACAAGCCCAGTCATTAGTAGGTAATAAATGCAAGATATTGGGATCTATGAAACTGCTGCTAGCAGCTTAATTTCTGTTGCCTTTTTTAATATACAATAACAATTTTTTTTTTTTTTTAACTTATGCTTGTCAGGATGTAATTATACTATTCACGTAGATTGTATAGTTTTCTATCTATTCCTGAATATTTAAACTCTGCATAAGCTCTTGGAAAAGGCACAAATACTAAATTTTTTTTTAATTTTTTTTAAAATGAAAATAATTTATTTCAATTATCCAAATTGCTTCAGCAGATTTATAGGTAAACTGAAGCATTTGTATGAAGTGATTGTTGTAATTTTTTTTATGTATGTTTTGTCTCAGAACCAAAAGATTTGTACAATTTTTTTTTTTTTTTCTCTCTCCAGGTATTGTCCTCAGTGCAAGAAACACCAACAAGCCACAAAGAAATTTGATTTGTGGTCATTGCCCAATATATTAGTAATTCACCTGAAACGGTTTTCTTATAATAGATATTGGCGGGATAAAATTGACACATTGGTTGAATTTCCTACCAAGTAAGTTTAAAATTTCAAATTGCCTTGAATTTTTCAAGTGTCATTCAAAAAAGGATCGATTTTAACATATCTCTAATAGCTTTTGACTATTTATTTTTACTTACATTTAAGCCTGTAATATAAGGTTTTATTGTATTAATTTAACATTTTAAATATTTGTAACTTGTATTTGGAATAGTTTTAGTAAAATATTTTTTTCTTCAATAAATAAAATTTTTATATGAATAAAAATACATAAGCTTTTGTTTATACAAGTTATTTTTTTTCTTGTATAATTGTATTATTTCTTTAGTTTTCCCATTTGCTTGATGCACTGAATTGATTTTTTTTGTCTTTTCATAATCCAACTTCCAAAAGCAATTTGAATTTAAAAAAGTACATAATCAATAACAATCATGGTCCTGCTACTTATGACCTGATATCTGTGAGCAACCATTATGGTGGCATGGGAGGAGGACACTGTAAGTGCTTAACTTTTCTTTTTCTTTAATATTTATGAAAAATATTTCCTTTTAATATAAAAAAAGCTTCTTTTAAATCAAACATTTACATTTTTTTTTTGTATTACTGCTTGTATATTAGATGTTACTAAGGCTTTTTTCAATTATATAAACACTTTTAAACCAGATTGTAAATATGCTGCTAAATTTTCAAAAGTTTTGTTTGGACAATTTTAAGCTAAACAAATATTTTTATTTTCAGATACAGCTTTTTGCAAAAACAAGGATGATCAACAGTGGTATTATTTTGATGATTCTAGTGTCTCTCCATCATCAGAAGATGTAGTTGTTGTAAGTTTTTCTTTCATCTACTAATTTATATGAATAGAAAATTACTTTAATTAAAATAGTTTAATGTATTATGCAATTTTCATTTGACTTTGATAGTCTTACCAGAATATATTGTCTGGTGAGTAAATAACTGAGATCACATTTTAAAAATTTCATTAATTTCTCATTAATTGTATTCTGCATATGTGTTTAAAGCTTTTTAGTATGAGAATTTGAGCAGAGTCATTTTTGTTCTAAGTGTTCAGTGATAAAAATCAATTTGTCATCTGAGAATTGTGATGTTGTAACCTCAAGTTTCATGAGCCACATTGAATAAGTGGAAGACTATAGAAAATACTCTGCTTATTAATTACCTTATGATAGGCTGATTGTATTTGAGAGCCAAAAGACAGGGGGTACTTACCTTCTCAAATTTCCCACTTTGGATATAGGAAACAAAGATGTTTTTATTTTTAAACATTAAAAAAACAAATTTGGTAAGATTTCTTCTTCAGCACAAAAGGAAATGCTATCTTGTAACATGAGCTCTATTGAGTGTATCTACAATTGTAGTTTTATCATCTAATTTTTTTTTCTATTTATATTAGCATTTGCGATTAATATCTTAATATCAAAATGAACATTTCTTGTACACATAGCAATAAGATCCTAAAAGGCCAAACAAAATTGTAAGTGCTTAGTTAGTGAAGCTTATTAAAATCCTTTAGAGAGATAATCCCTGATTTATACATAATCAGTTGTTTGCTTTGATACTCGGAATGCTGTAGTTTGTATGTGATCCAAGTATAAAAGTATCTACATTTGCCAACCATTAGTTCTCAAATGTTAGCTCTGTGCAAATTGAAAATGATTCTACTTTGGTATTACTTTTGATGAGTCTTTTTTTTTTTTTTTTTTTTTTTCTTTCCACAGACAAAAGCTGCTTATGTGTTGGTGTACCAAAGACAGGGATTACCAGATCCAACTCAAATGATGCGTATTCGGTCAAATCCTTCAACTTCTGGCAGTGGTGTGGCATCTGCTGCTGCAGGTGCTCCCCCTTCTGCTATAGGTCATCACCCATCATCTGCAAGTAATACAGAAGCAGGCAGTTTGAATGGAATTGATGATACTGATGAAGATGAGGAAATGGAGATAAATTAATGTTAATTTCCAATAGTCCCCACCCCCTTATTTACTCTGACCTGGTTTTACTGTGGTGGCACTCTTCTCTAAATGAGACAAAACAAAAGGGGAGGAGAAAGTGTTAAATCAAGCAAGCCAAGAAAGAGGAAGGAATTAGTGTTATAAATTCAGCCACCAAAAGAAACATGGGAACTTTTTATAAAAATTAAAGACAATACCATTTTCCCCCCTCTCTCTCCTGCCCCATTTCTTCCACTTTTTGATTTACCGCATCTATACCTGTTAGCTGCACCATATACATCATAGCAGCAACAGCTTCATTGTTTCTCTTTCACACCAACTTTATAACTGGAGCTATGATGTTACTAAAGCAGCCATAGCATGGTCATTTGCAACTGCTACTATCTCTTTCCCTTAATATTACCTCCTTGCCACCTCTTACAGTCCTTTAAATTTGTTATAGTCTGCAGTGGGCGAACTACTGTGGTATTTTTTCTATTGGTGCCGTTCAAGGTGCTGCTTGGGTTGGTCTGACACATGCCCTGTATTTTAGTTTCATGCTGCAATTTGTTTTTCTTTTGCCATTTCAGTGCTAATTTGGGGGCTGGGAGTGTCCTTAACTTCCTCTTCTATGCCTATTTACTATATAAATACTTATTAAGCTTACTAATATAGCCTTACATCATTCTTAATGTTAGGTCTTCAGTTTCTTTCTACTTTCAAACATTTAAGTGGAGAATTCCTAAAGTATGTAACTGAGTGAATATTTTTAATTTTAAGTCCCTTTCAGAAGAAATAATTTTGTTTGGAAAAATAAAGAAATTAATTCTGTATTGAGCACATTTGCTACTCCCTTTTCAATTCTCTCTCTCTCTCTCTCTCTCTCTGCTCTTTTTGCAAAGAATGTGATGACTGCTTATTCTAAGCTGATGTTACTGTCCTTAAAACTTTGGGATACTTGCAAGATTGAAATAATTAGGACACACACACACACACTGGGATTTCTTATATGAAAATTATATTGTTTATTTACAAATACCAAAGACTTTTTGTCTTGATATACAAGACAATGTGGTGTTTCTAATAAATTAAATATTTCCCCTGATCTTGGGTTTAAGGCAAAGCCTAGATTTAGGCAAACAGGCCATGCCTTTTACTTTCAGTCATATTATTCTTAAAATTTTATTCAAAATTAGTCTTAAATAACTATTTCCTCTTTCTCAAGATGATAGGTTATTCTGATAATTCTTTTACAAATAACTAACTTCAGGTGACCATTAAGACCATGAGCAAAACTTTCATATAATAAGTTCCTTTTTTTCCTTAGGACTTTAAAAATTATCAGAAAAATGAAATATAATGAAGGGTTTGGCAGGGAATTTTGAAACACAGACAGCTTTACTTTTATCAGATTAAATTCATTTTTATGAAGGAATCTGTTATTATCCATTTTAAAGTTACTGCAAGAATTAATATGGTTGATAAATATTCATTATGACAAAACATTAAGAATTTAATCTCTACTCTTTAGAAGCAATAATGAAAGCATATTTCAATTTTCATTTTATAATTGAAAACCACTTATTCCTAGGCATTTTTGAATTAATAAATATGTGGATTTCATTATTAAACTTACAAAATAGGAGTGATATTTTGAGTTTAATTCTGTTTAAAAGCAATGCCAAATCCCTCCCTTCTTCCCTCCCAAAACTGAAAGCTTTTGGCTTAGAAGTACAAGCTTTCTATTTTAAATGTAGCTCTTGGCAATTTGCAATAAAGTTATGTACTCTTGGTTAAATTGACTCTGTTTTAACAAAATTACTTAGTTGGTGTGGGGTGAGTTTTATTTCTGGACTAATCTATATTCTAAAAGTGCAATGATATGCAATTATAATTACAATTATGAGTTTGATTTGTCATTACTGAAAGGTTTCTGAAATCTCTTATCTCTTGGCATTGAAAAAGGTATATAATCCTAATTTCATAGCAGAAATTAGGGCTGTAATACTGTAAACTTGCAGTTTAATGACACTTTTCACATAACTGCTTTTAATCTATGGGGGCTGCCAGATAAGAATTTTCTTTTCCTTACATGGCTAAGATTGTTAAATTTTTTTTTTTTTTTTTTTTATGATGATGATGATGACTCAAACTTACATCTTATGACATTCCATTTTTCTCTCTCTTGTTTAACTCATTGCACTCAAAATAAGGGTTTCTGTTAACTGATTAGAAATTAAGCCAACTTATAAAGTTTGCTCTTAATGGAATTAAAATTCTCAAAAAATAAGTTGTGATTAATCTACTAATTGTATGACAATAGTCTTCCAAATACCACTGTTTTCTATACATGTAGGTTTGTCCAAATCAACGTCTGAGCTTTTTGTTACTTGTTTACAATTCTTATAAATAATGGTAACCAGGTTTACCATGAAAACAATCACTGAAACTTGTAATTTTATACTAAAGACTCTTTGCAATATCTTACAAATTGGCTTATATGATGAATAAATTTATGTAAATATTAAGTGAAATACTGATAATTTTGTTGACCAAACTTGCTAATCTTTCCTCCTACACCATTTTAAATGATATAAGGATGCAGTATCAAATGTTTCTTTATTTTGTTTGCTAATTATAGGACAAATAGAGAAAGGTTTTATTTATGTATTTGCTATTCCATAATTACTGATTTTTTTTTTAATGTAATACAATTTTAAAAGCATTTTAAGGATTGCATATTTTTTAATATCGTATAAATATAAAAAGGCTCAGTACCAATATATATTCAGTAAAATGTATTATGACAAACTGAACTGAGAGAATGTATGCTGTACTTTAACATAATTGGAAAATATTGGTGTTTGCTACTTTCCAAAATTCAGGTTTAAACAATCTATTTTCAAGTATTTCCTAATGAAACTGAAGCATTTATAGAGGGTGTGGCAGAAATAACTCTTACTGTTGTTCCATTATGTGAGAGGCATTTCTGTCATGCAATGTACTTTCACAACATTAGTTAAAATAGATATGTTTCTGTAATGTTTGCCATCCTACTTTCATTGTCAACTTAAAACTCGGCTAATGTGCTTAGCACTCTGAAAGGCTATTAAAAATGCCTTTTTTTACAGTATGGGAATATCTTTATATAAAAGTTGCTATATTTATTTCCCTAATGACATCAAACTTTCATGCAAGCAAAAATCTTTTAAAACTTTAAGCTAGCAAACATAATTTGTAAGTTTATTTGAATCCGTTTTTGTTTTAATCTGTCTTAAGGATGTATATATAACTTAGATATGTAGCCTATTGTTATCCTCATTTGACACATTTTTCAATATGCAGAATATTAAATAATAAATAAAATAACAAAAAACTTTAATACCTCAACCACTTGTTTTTAAGTTGACTTGGGAACAGAAATCAAAAAATAGACTGGTGGCTGAAAGATCTTTGATTCTATCTATATCAAATCTAGAAGTAGAAAAATTGATTTCAAACCAGGCTCCAAAGTTGGGGCTTATAGTTGGTCTTTATCTTGCAAAATAAATAAAAATGCAATGCCCACATAAATCTAAAAAGTGCAAACAAACTTAATTGTGACTCAAACTTCCTCCTTTAACTATCATGGAATCCCTTTCCAATAACTCTCTCTCTCTTTCTTTCTCATTATATCTGTGTATTGAATTATATCAATGTATCATTGCTGACAAGAGCACTTGAAGTTATTTAGAAAAAAAATTCTGTTTCAGTAGCCAGATTGGCTAGATTTAGGAAAACTGATCTCAAACTTGCTTTAAAATGTTTTTTCCTGTCTTTGTCAGTCTAACCAATCTGATGTGATAACCATCTTGAATTCTATATAATCTTGCATGTTACAGATTACACTGACCTTAACTGTATAAACTTTTACTCCCACGTCCATGCATACTGGGTATAAATATAAATGTTCCAGATTTCCAAGTCTCTCAACACATCTGTCCTCTAAATTCAGTATAGTTGTGTACTTATAAAATCTAATGTCTTTGTAGGAAGTTGCAGGCTGGATATGGAATTGATAAGGAAAATCTGCATAGATACAAAGACTTCTATTTAAAAATGCAATTTTCTCAACTTTAGGTGTGCTTCCATTGACAAGCAGTTGTGTATTGTTAATGCTTTAATTTTATCAATTGCCACCAGATCAGTTTTGAATAATCTTCTCAAAACAAGCGCTCTATGCTAGACTTTACAGCCAGCCAATAAATACCTATGATGATAAATCTGTTAAACAACTTCGTATTAAGATCATCAAGTCTTAATTTACCAAAAGAAAAATTCACATGGTAAAATGGAATACTGAAAGTAAAATATATACAAATTAACATTTGCCTAATTTAAAATGCAATTATCTTATTTTTAACACTAACCATACTTATAATTGACAATTGACTTATTGAAACTGATAAGCAAACATTGTCTTTCACTCTTTGTGTCTTCATGTAAGTCCATTCATGTATTTATAAAATATGCAGAAGTACCAAAACTTTTTAAAATGTTTATAAAATAAAGTTCACATCATGTAGAAATCGAGCTCATTGTTAGTGATATTAAACCCGTGTCAAAAAGGGGGAAATACTGACTTACGAAAATTCAGACCAAATTAGAGTTAATTCCCTTGCTCCACAATCTAAGGTTTAGTATTCATTTTATTCTCGAATCGATTATTTATGCATATTAAATAAAAGAGCTTTTATTACTTATTTTTACCATTAATATCAGTAAATTGTAACTAAGTTTTAATGTCTTAGGTATATGTACGCATATGTCACATTTTATATTAAATTTAAAACGGTTGAAATCGACGTATATAGCATGGATTAAATCAAATATTTAGTTTGGGTAAGAATTTGCATCCAATTTCTTGAATATACTATTAAATAATAATAAATTCATGTTAAGCTATGTCATCTAACCTTTCAGCTACCACTTTAAAAATTGTTGGCTTTATTTTTATTTATTTTTTTATCTTCTCCCTGCTAAAAATTTAGAATTTTAAAAACTGTTTCCAAAATCAGATATTGCTGAGATACAATATGTCTTATTTTCCACGAAGGGATCCTGACCTTTTTCACAGCTTGTGCTGTTGGAGAGAGAAACTTATTGGATACTTATTTCCTGCATTTTGATTTTTGAAATGAATGTCTCATTTTGGTATCAGTGAGTGAAAAGGTGCTGATAAGTGAATTATAAAAATGTTTTCAAGTTTGTCACTGTTACTTTTTCCCAATAAATTATACTT